AAGTGGAGGGATTCCATGCTACACTTTAGGAAGTTTATTGACGTATCTATATAGCAGTTTACTGCTTGCCATGAATATTTTGGCTAGCCACTGTTGTTAAGTTAATTGTTTTCACGGACAAGTGCAGTGCAATGGTTGCGATGGGTCAGGAAATCGCCCCAAGTCTCTGATTCGGGGTTAATCTTGTAGGCACGCCATTTTACATCCCTTATCGCCATGCATTTTCGAGTCCTGCTCCTTGGAAGTGAAGCCATTTTTGCGGGACAAAGGGGATTGGTCTCTGATGCTCTGTTGACCATATCGCTGAGTCTATCAACGAACTCTGTCCAAACATTGTGAAGGGGACTGTTGTTTGAGAATTCCTAAGCAGCTATGTTGACGAGTTCTTTCAAGACGTGGTAGCGTGTGGTTGTATGAGTTAGTTCCGGGTGTTCAGATGGATACTCTACATAACACACATAGTTGAACGTTGTTACTACATGGTCACTGAAACCTAATGGAGTATCCATCAATAATTTGTCAACCATGAGCTCTTCATTCGTGAGCAGTTAAGGCTAAATCTGTGCGGACAGTGGGACATGTATGTCCTTATCTTCCTCGAACACATATGGGTCTAGTGGATATGGCCAGCCGCAGTTCTGTCGCATTGTACACTCTCTTTACTGAGCCCCTTATACAGTTCTCGGTGACCTTCATGCTGTGGCCACCTTTATAAGGTAATTCACTGAAAATTGGGTTCTCGGGGACTGTTTGCACCCTATCTTACTTAACTGTTTCCCTGGGGTGCTTACTAAACTACAACGAATATCCGTTGCGTTGCAGCGTATCAAACAACTGATCACTATGCCTCTATGGTATCTGCCTAAAGGTCAGATGTGCCCGAGTGGGCCTTTATGTGGTATAGGAGAAACTCATAAAAATGTAAGTAAATATATATAAATGCTTCTGTAGACGGACCACCTGATGGAATTGTCCGACCGCCGGTTTACTTACCATTGTTGCATGTATGTGTTTGATAAGAATGCATGAAATGGCAACGTCATCTCACTATTTTCTAGTTTTCCTGTTCGGAGAAATAAAAAGATTTCTTATTTCCAAACCTAGACGGATATTGACTTGACTTTTTTCAGAATTATTGTAAATGTATTAAGAATCCTCGTTGATACGTTGTGATTCATGAATCTGAAGTGATTGCTGCAGCAAGAAGCAGCACTGTCTTTAGGCGGAAGCCTGTGTTGTCCTTGGAATCTGGCCTGACCTCACTCTGACAGGAGTTAACAGTACCAGTCGTTATAGCGTTGCAGTCGTCGGTGAACGCAGGTTACTGACTTATCTGGGACTCAGAATGTGGGTGCATGAAAAGGAAAACAGTGCAAGGGAGCACAAGGGGGAGCTTGGCATGGCTACTCGAGATCAGTATGACCAAAAAAAGATTACCGTATCCTATGAACATACTGAAACTGGTCTGCCAACTTGAAATATGTCAGTTGCAGTTCTCGACTCCCGCAGACACAGAGCTACGTACCAACACTTACGACAAGATTTAAAATTCTCATTGTTACCCAACATTTTCCCGCAGCTTGGCGCTCTGTGTTGGTCGTGTTTCTAAAATGGTGATTTTAGCTGTTCTTGGGGTACGGCTAAGCGGTCCACTGTGAGTCTCACGTTTCTCAGAAAGAGAGAGTGCAGTGTTTATAACAACGTCGAATGATAACTATATTTCCCGCTCAGGTATGTGTCTTCCCTATGTTTTGTAATATTGCTGAAGTAAGGTCAACACGGCGAAGCGATTAAGATCATTCTAGTTCCACTTGTGCATACAATTCGAACGCCGTTCGTCTTACGGGAAACGGCATCTGCTGACAGCCAGTTGAGAGAATCTGCATTACGATAATGTTATCGGTTAAATAAAGTACGTTTCTCAGACCCCGACAGTTCCATATCCAAGTCTTTTGACTATAAAAACTGACTTTGTTATACAACACAGCATTGACCGGAATTGCGGAAAAGATCGACAAAATAGCCAGTTGACTTAACATTTGAATAAGCTATTAAACACACCGACATGAATTGTTGCGTCTGAAGCCATTTCACCTAGGCCCTACTGCGGTATTCCCCGCGCAGTCTGAACTCCTGTTATTCAAGTAATGAAGGCACCCGGTTGCGTTTTCTAACTGTTTCAATCTATCCACCCACCCGTACTACGATTGGGTCGGCGTATATCGGCTACCGATTCAGATGTCGCCTGGCCACAGATCACAGTCGGCCATCTGATTGGCAATTGTCCAAGGTTAATTCCCTGCACGTAATCCCTTTATATTTCGCCTGTCAAAGCATAATGGTGATATCATAGGAGCATTGGAAGAGACTTGGTGGTTCCGTTCAAGGGTAAGCAGTTTTCCGCACAAGATGTCATCCGCGTAATGACAACACATAAGCAATTTTCACCGACTATACAGAAGAACCTACAACTGGAATGAGCCAAACGCAGTTCTTAAACCTAGACGCCGTTGAGCAGGTGCCACCCTAAAGGTGAGCATTACGCCGGTGTAGTGCAGGAGTTAATTACAATCAAACCCTTGCGAGCAAGTGTTTGAACCACGGTTAACGTAGATCTATATAGCCAGGTTGACTAAGTAATGAACCGTAATATGATAGTCACTGGTCTAATTCAATACTTGTTAACGCTGTAATAGCATGTATGCTGATTCTCGAGCATTAAATTCCAATACCAAATGTGAGCAAATTGGTGGGATGTAGTTCCAGACCGGAAATGCCTATGCAAAACACGGAGGGCGACGTTTCGTCACGTCTTGAAGAGACCAGCCTTCAGCTCAGGGAGCTTCGCGTAACTGACTGACTGGGTTTAAGCATGACGAGTGTCATTTGTATTCCTTATTATTTACGCACAGATTGTGATTAAATTTCGAACCCTTTCCAATCTGCGAGGTTCATCATCCTCATGTGGCACAGCACGTGGTGTTGAAGGTTCAACTGAAATAATCTCTAGCTTAGCCACCAATAGTTAATTTGTTGGAACCCAGGCCTACACTACTCCTCCTTGCTTAAGTCCGGATGCGTTAACCCTACAGCATTTGGTTAGGTAAGACCAAACAAGTGTTTCGGAGGCCATCTGGATAATGTGAACTAAGCATTGGAATATCCTCACGACATTATTAGTCCGCTGCTGATTCATACAAGCTTATCTATCAGCACTTTACACACAATAACTAGAACTCTTCGCTTTATACTACCCTTGGAGGAGAGCTGGCGGCCACCCAAGTATCCAAAAGCATCTTGTGTGAAAATGCTGTGCGACTAGAGCTCTACTTCCTGGTCCAATCGATGTGCTCATCAAACGAAACCAAGGTTACGGAAAGCTGTCTCAGATCCACAATTATACCCTTAATTTCTTCAAAGTCTATTTCGTATTCAACAGTACTTGACGGAGACATGAGAAGCAGTGGGCTCGCAGGTCGAACCTCGGTGGGCAATTGGCAGAACACGGGGATCACCAATGACGGTTCCCAACAGCTTCTTTCCCTGGTTGACCAATGACAGCTTTCAGCATGGCGTAATCCACTAGCGTCCAGAAGCCCAGGTTTCGGTTTCTGGTCCGGTGGGAGGGTGCGCTAGTGACGAGTGCCAAAAAAAACTCACCGGCCGTCTAGGACTTCCCCGGACGTGCAGGAGGATGTTTGGCTGGGAGTTAGCCTCAATGGCTCATCTACAAGAAATGTACATACCCCTTACACTGGGCGTGTTTGGTTTTCTCCTCATCACCTCATTATACACAGGTTAAGGATCCGATTTTTCTCTTTATGGTTTATAGAATTTTGGAGACAGGGGTGTCGGTTTTCATTTTAACGGAAGTTGTGTGCCGCATTAGTTAACCCTGAGAGTTCTGAGGGCCAGTTTTGCACAGCGCAGCTTGTAGTCGCAGTATGGATTACGGACTCGGCCGTCGAGAAAGCAGTAGCCGAAATCGATGGTATGAGCATCTCTACAATGTCGCTTAGGATGGGGAATGATAGATCACACGGGATGAAGAAGTCATCAAGCGGTTCAGTTGGACCACCTTTCCCGCGTGTTTCTCCCAAGGCTCATCGCAAAGTTGTAAAATGAATTCCCCCCGGCTCAACAAGTTCAACGTATCCGTGCAGCGTCATGCCATCCGAGCAGAAACACGTACGCCAGGCCACATGAGTGCGACAGCTTGCACAAAGGTCTCACATGTTTTTGCAACTTGCGCGAACTTAGTGTTTTGATTCCTTCTTCTTCTTATTGTCCCTGGGGGCATAGGATGTGTCTTGTGGTGCTTCTGTTCGGCCGAATGTGGATGTAAGATCAAACGCAGTCTCCTATGTTGAGCAAAATGTATCGTCTCTTGAAACTAAACTTTGCGCTATTTTCTTGCCTTCGCATTAAACATTGCCCGTGGACTGCAGTATACAACGGTTCTTACAAGGAATGCCTTGTAGAACAAGTGAGAAACAAGGTAAACAAACAGACTTCATTGCTATCCCTATTTCTTCAAGTGGTCTGATGGATAGCTTAGGGTTGCGGTTACACCTCGCTTCCCACAAGGACGGTGCCGGGGTCACGTGAGCTCCAATGCGCCATGTTGTGTGAGCCGTAAACCGTCCAACCTCTCGCTTATCCATGTGCTGTTTCAAAAACTCAGTCACTGACTCACAAGCAATAAACTGCGTTGCATCTTTCCAGTACTAGGCTAGATTGTTCTACCGACCCTCTTCCTTTGATACACAAGGGACACCGTGCATAACTACCCATTGGAACACCATCAGACAAACACTTAATGATTGCAATTTAAATGAGTCTCCACAATAGGAATCATGAGCCAGTAGTCCATTTCACAACACGACCGGTTTGTACAAACTGGTGTTTTACGCTCGGATCGCAACAACGGCGCAACTGTGGTGTTTGTATTATCGGTATATAATGTCTTTGTATTTCCCCTGCTTTTAACCCTCACGTAGGACCCGATTGCCGCCCATTATGCCATCGAATGGGAACTGTACGAACCAATCGCACCCAAAGTACTCCTGCTGACAACGGATGATATGCTCACGGATGACGCCCCAGGAATGTGGATGAGCAACAAGAGCACCGCCGAAGTGACGCACACTGATTTGACAGCGCTGTTACAACAAATTGAGAGCGCCGAAATGATGCGCAGCGCAGCAAATCAACAACCACTCACGGTTTTGGAGCACAAGCCTGCGAAATTCGCCTGTCGTTTTCGTGTGGTGGACAGGGATGGCCCGAAAGAACTTGATGCTCAAAAGTTGCCCATGCAACAAGTATACTGGTATCGAGACGGGCAGTCCGTACACGTCCCGCCCTTCTATGTGGATAATAGCTTGACCAATTCCCACGGCATCTCGGTGCTTGAAGTGCGGGCATATTCTTCTCTGTTCCAACCGCACAGACAAGTAACCGAGGACATGCCTACTGGCGGACCAATTGAACAGATCACCTGTTCCGTGACAAGTCAATTAAAGTCCAACCCGGTGTATAAAATAAACACAAATGACACGTAAGTTTGAAGCGCTTCCGGATTCGTCAAACATTAGAAGTAGACCTCATAAACTATGGACCTTAATTTTACCTTCGCATAGGATATTTTTTTCCAGCTAGGGCGTCACCGTGTTGCTCTGTTCTGCTAATCTTCAGGACTCAACCCAACACAACAAGACAATTTGTTTTAGTACGCAAAAGATCTAATCGTCGTCGCCGTTTTGCCCTGCACCATAGAACATAAACCGTATGAAGGTCATTGTGAAGACTAATAAAACAGTAGCGCCTCAACTTGGAAAATGGGATTACGGAGCCTGCTCCGTTCTTACCTTTTTGAAGGCTGGGTCAGTAGCGTGATATGGTGTACGTTCCTGTGGACAGGCATAACAGCCTACAGAGCGCCACAAACAACTTGCACGTTATACTCGGATGTCATCAGTAGAAGTTTATTCGTTATTATGGCAGAGATTCAAGGGGCGAGTACTTAGCCTTTTTCAGAGATGGCTGCACCATGTCACAAAAACAATTTTTGTGAGGTTCAAGTTGTTGGAGATCAGTGATGTGCGTCAAAATAACAAAGCAAAAGTATACGTTACGCCACAGCTACCAGGTAGCCTATACGAAATAACACTTTATGGTGTGTATTATTGGGACAACCCAACATCATGATCAGAACAAATTGTTCTGAAGCAAGTATAGTTCCGCTTTCCAAGCTATCTTATAAGCACGGTTTCCATATCGCGCTCACGAGTTTCAAGGAAAGGTTTCACCCAACTCGTTTCCTTCAGGTCCATTCGCTGTCGGGAACGTTATTGATGCACCTCGGATATTGCAGGGATGCAAATTGGCCCTAAGCCGAGCAGGTCTCGTGACTAGACCCCAGGCTCGCGGCCTTGCCAACTAAATCACGTGATTCTGCCTACAAGATATCGGTGCCCACGAAGTCGTCCCACGGGTATGTGGGACAGACCTATTATCGTGAAGTCAAGATGCTTGTTCACACTTGTTACATTACGTCCATGCTAGAACATGCAGATGGACGGCTGACTGAGTCAAACATTGGTGGTCCAACACATGTTTACCCTCATCGACATGCCAGCAGATTAACAACGGGAGGGGGAAAGTGAAGCAAAGAACACTAATTATGTGAGGTCCATCGCAGCCAGTTTCCAACTCAGATAGTCGTCCACATGCCCGGAAAAGCACTAGACTGCAGTTTCAGCCTGTGGGGCATCATCAGTAGTGCGCATCCATCGGATCTCTCAGGATTCGAACCCATGACCACCAGCGGCTTGCACAGCCAGTCAGCAGTTTATGCCACTGGGCCACGCGGGACAGCTTCGGACAGTCATGATTTACAAGCTAACTTCGATATAGCGCGTCTTATCCTCCAATGCCATGCAAGTTACGAACGTTGCAGAGGATAGATCCGATGGATGCGCACTACTGACGATGCCCAACAGGCTGAAACTGCAGTCTAGTGATTTTCCGGGCATGTGGACGACTATCTGATTTGGAAACTGGCTGCGATGGACCTCACATAATTACATCAAAATCCCCTACTCATGAGTACATCAAAGAACACTAAACCTATGAGATGGAAGGGCCGAGTTAGGGGTTAACAATATAAACGGTGAAGGTCAGATGTGTTTAGACTAATGAGGATTTTTCAGTGTCACAAAAATGTCTACCCAATTAGAAACATTCTAAGCGGTGACGCACTTACGAAGATGGTGCAGCTACTTACTTACTTACCGAAACCAATCAATCTCGAATAATTATCAACTGATCTCGGAAGCCTGTGACCTCAGGGATCAGTCTTACCGTAGAAACATGCACGAAGCTGTAAAGCATATCAATTATGGTCCAACCTGCCGTTTCGCTTTCTCTCTTCACCTGGGAATCAACTTCCGTAGCCCATCGTTCCAGTTTTTGTGTACCAATTCCAATAGTTGCAGTCTACGAGTGGAACCTTACACTCGCATCCCATGTCCATTAGCGCGTGGCCTCCTTTCCTTTGGAAGAGAGGCTTATGTGGGTACTTTTCTCGGATACTGGTCTGCCTACGTCCTGAGGCCACAAGTATGTAGTAAGGGAACGTAAGTGTCGATGGATCAAACTTTTTTCGGCTTTCGATAAGAGTGAGATCAGGATGGCAATCCCGTCCTCGGCACAGCACAAATCTTGGATGATCACCAGATAAAGCTTACTCGGTATGTTAGCAGTAGGTTAACATGTCATTCCTACGCACTATATCGAATGCAATTTGAAATCATGCTTATGCATATGCATAGCATGGGGCTAATCGTGATTACTGGAAGACAGTGTGGTGCAAACAAGTAGATCGCTCAGCAGTATTTCTCATAAAATCGATGTAGGAGCACCTACTTGTTGTACATGTGAATAGCACATCGAACTCACCGATACATGTTCTTTTTTCTTGACTTCTTTAATTTAAGCGGTACAGTCGTCTGTTTTCAGGCTATTTTGTGTTGCTGTGGTCATGTCACGATGTGTGGGTTTTGTCCAAGTCTAAGGTCTTTTTGTTCTCTAGACCGCATCGATGCGAACCCAGATGGAACATATTGTGAGAAGAGTATATATATGTTCCCCTCACTGGAGCTTGAAATGGTTGGATCTACTGGTCCTAGGATGGTACGGTTCGTTGAGCGCAGCATAACGAACTTCGCGAATCGTGGTCTGCAAATCCTTTCCCCTAAAACAAAAACGAGCTGCTCCCAATGTCAGATCCAACTAAAGCCCAGCGGTCAGATTGCAGCACGCATGAAATATGTTGATCAACGGAGGAGTGTTTTTAATCTAATCTTTAATTTTAATGTATTTGAAATCAGCTCACATGTTCAATCGAGCCGCAGTTTGCATAGCCTGTACGGTGAAATTTAATTCACGCCTGACCCACGTCTTGGTATCAGAATAAGCTCCAGCTTGCTGGGTATTTACCTTGTTTGTTCTTCTTTACTGGAGATTTGCCTACTCGCGCATAGTTCGACACGACAATTGAATACATCGAACGTTAACTTCATTACGGCGCTAGCCACACCAGTCAACTGCGATTCTCGAGGTCGTAGCACGCACTACTAAATAATAATGTGTCAGCTGTACGCTGTAACAGCACTTCGCTGAAGCGCGACCACCACCAGTCGCGCTTGGGCTGAATCTACCGCAAGGACTCCGACCCCTACGCGGATTCGAACCCGTGAGCTTATGGTTGCAAACCAGGCGCGCAGACCACTCGGCCACCGGCAGTAGCAAGTAGTTGAACCAGCGAATTTTTCCTAGGTAGTGACAGTAGTGTTAATAATAGTGATGTAAATAAATCTCGAGTCTCCTGCAGGTATATTTTCATAGATGGAACCAAGTTGAAGGAATTCGCCCATGCATGATCATGTTGCACCTAATATCAAATGACTAATGTAGAACTTGTTGACTGTCGTTTCACGACGAGAGTTCGTTATATGTGTTGCATATTTATTTATTTATTTCTGAATGCGTTATTGGTATCGTATATGTGTCGCCTGTGTAATGTGTATGTTATAGGTTAACTGTGAATGACCGTCTATCTGAGTTTGGAGCTCCCTGCTTGGAAGTGGATAGTCACCTGATTTGGGCCGCTGAATACAGCGGGAACTAGCATGGACTGATCGAACCCCTTTGCATTCTGCAGGCCATTTGATTACTCTCTTATTGCTTATTCTCGGCGTGTTACGCGTTTCTGGTTCCGTTTCCCTAAATGTGTTCAGGTTGTCACTAGTTGCTTACACAAGAATCAGCTCTCTGCTGATCCTTATGCAGTCTCAAGGGAAAGGGTGCGCTAATCGGTTCCACGGAGTTACACTTTTATTAATTAGCCTATGTTTGGCAAACCTTTGCTAATGGACACGGCAGAGTAAACCATGTACCTTGCAGACTTTACATTGCGCATTTTGTAATTCCATAATTTTCGGTTTTGTGTGCTTTCAAGAAAAGACGTTAAACATTAGTCTGTTTCAGGCGACCAAACCATGATGGCTCTGAGTGAAGTCGTATGTCGGTTTCATGATAAGTGAGATCGGACTAAAAAATTTGTTTCTTTTAGAAGTAAGTTAGAAAGAGCTCGCAGACATTACTGTAACCTATGTGTCTTTGTATTTCTATTATGCAGGAATCCTTTATGAAGCACGGCCTGACAACCTCACTACTAAATTAGACTTCCGTCTTCTAAGGCGATTTCGGCCACATCTAGCCTTCAGTTGCTGCCTGACAACAATGAGGCTGTTCACGCGCACTGGACTGCGCACAAGTGGTTGAACTAGTTGGATGTTGTGTAAAAGTCGCAGTTCAACTGTCCATTTCACTAAGTCGGTCACCGTCTCTCCACATCCCTGTACTCTAGATTATGCGCCCGGATGCGTTTTACAAAGCGCAGCTAGTCAATGACTGTAATACATGCCTTACGTGTTAACCGCGCTGTGCGTGCCTCCTCACAGTACAAGAGTGAAACAAGTTTGCACGCTCAATGCTCAAGCTATTCAAAGGTAGTTGAGGTTGTCTAATTCGACTAGCGCTAGAAAGCCTTTTCCTGCCGCGTCTCTCAGGTAGGAATGCAGTGAGGCAGTTCTTCATCCCAATGGGTCCAGAGCTTTGGGCTATCTAGTGAAAGGTAAAGAATGTTAGATGAATGTCGGGTGCTGCTTATCGAGTAATAATAAATAATAATGCTTATCGAGTAGCCCTCCAGAAATCAAGAACAAAGTCGCCAATAGCATGTCTGAACATAGCAAGCTGGTAGGACGTCGGATGGGAATCCAATTGAGTCAGCGTGACAAAATTCGTCCACTTCGATATCAACATTGTCCAGTTGCCAGGTAGCGTGCCTTCCGTCATCCGCAGAGCAGTCGGCAGTGGGATCGACGGCTGTCCACAAAAACCTAGCGCAGTACGGCGTGTCAGCTTCTTTTCCTCTGTCACTATGTCGAATGGCCTTCCAGAAATCAATAACAACGTCTGGGCGGCGACCAA